GTAGAGGTCTTTTGCCTCCTCAGCTGAACGGTGAAGGCAGACTCTGGACTCTAGTGACCTTTTCATCCTTCATGTCTCCTACAAAGGCTGACATGGAACCAGCACTCATTCAGAATTGTACACAAGCCTGGAATGATCTATGTGTTTAGAGACCTGGATAGAATCACAATCAGCTTGGATAGCTCATCTTCCTCTTCCTTTGGTACACTTTTGTAATATTTCTTTCCTCTGTTTCCCAACACAAAGTCAATGTCCTGGGTATGTCTTACACATGTCATTGCTTTTCTGGCTCACTTCACTTTCTCTGCTTGCTTCAGAAAGGATTCTCACCTTTCCGAATCCTATTGACATTCCAGGCCTGCACTACCACCCCGTGCTGATTAGCCTCCTGATCAGAGGAACCTGCCCTGATCTCGCCCTACTGGGCCACCTGGGTGGAATTCCTCACAGACTGCCTTCCTCTAATTGCTGTTAGCTGTGCCCAACTTTCATGCAGGATTTGGAATCCAAGTTTTCTCATGTGGTCCTGGCTCTGGGAAGCAAATCATTCCTCAGTGGGGACAGAGAGCCTAGGGTCACTCTTAGGGTATTAATATGAAATGTTCCCTCTTAGGCTCATGTGTTAAACGTTTGGTCACCATCTAGTGGTGCTATGTTGGGAAGAGATGGAAATTTTGGAAGATGAAGCCTAGCCTAGCTGGATGATATAGACCACAGAGAGCCATGGCTTTGAAGGTCAACTCTTGTTTCCTACTTCTCCACCCCCTCTTTCTCCTTCCTGGCCTCCATGAGGAGAGCAACTCTGCTATTCACACCCTTCCATCATGATGTTCTGCCTCACTATGGCCCAGAAACAGTGAAGCCAGCCAACTGAAACCTCTAAAGCCAAGAGCCAAAATAAATCTTTCTTCCTGTGAGATGCATTTTTTCACAGCTACAAAAATCTATCATAGTCACAAAGTCCCTGCCAGTCATTGTGTTCATAAGTTACCTACCTAACCTTGCTGGGCCCTAGTTTCCTTACCTATGAAATGGGGTTATTGTAGAAATTAAGTGAATTAATACACATGAAGCAGTTAGCACTATGCACAGTTGATCAATGTCATCATTGATGTACTGGTTACTATGTCATTTGGTGTCAAATGATGTGATGTGATTCCCATAACAATTTATTAGAACTTTCCTACAAGAAAAGGTTTCACCTGATCTGTTAACAGTCCACTAATCAGATATATCTCTCAAGACAAAATAATATATTAAACTTTTAGATCAATTCTACCAGCCCCTTATAAGTCAACTTATGGCAAGTCAATCTGTAAATCCAGCTCACCCTACATATACTAGCAAATACACTTGCATGGCCAAAGGCCTAGATCTTGGAGACTACCAAGTTACCACCAACTTGGGGCTCAGTCTCTGAAGTTAGCAAATCTTTATGAATTACATGTATTTGGGGTTCCATTGTTTTATAGAATTGTTTCATAGAATCCTCAAGCTTTGGCTTCTTCAGCTACAATATGGGGTAAATGTAAGGATTCCTGTGTCAAATGAGTACTGGTAAGGACTGAATGAGAAACTGAATGGGGAACACTTGACTGTGGCTTTGAATAGATAGGTGTTTAGTGATGGCTAATTCCAAGAGCTATTAAGTGGTATTCCATCTCATCACCTTTGTTTCATGCTTTTATCAATTGAAACAATATTTCAGAGTAGGGCTTGTATTCCCAGCACTCACAATGCTGACACAGGACAGTCTCAGGTTCAAGGCCAGCCTGAGCTACATAGCAAGACAGTCCCAAAAGAAATAAACACACACAAAAATTAAAAGCTAATGCTTTATATTTAAAAAGCCTTTCCATATATGTTATCTAGTGTCATGACACATACTCCCAAACTGATAGAGAAGAAAGCTGGGAACAGACTGGTGGTTTCCAGGGACTGGAAGTGAGGTGGGAAATAAAGGGTTGGTCAAATGGTACAATATTCCAGTTGGTCAAGGTGACACAGTTCCACAGATCTGTGGTGCAGTGCATAAAATAATATGTATAATTATGATATATATTTGGCAATCACTAAGATAGCAAGTCTTAACTGTCCTCACTAAATCTCTCCCACACAGAGGTTATAATACAAAATGATACTCATTAGAGCTTCATGTGGTAATCATATATATATATATATATATATATATGTATGTATATATACAATTTGTATATATGTCAAAGCACCACATTGGCAGGGTGCTGGTAGTTCACATCAGTAAACCAATCCTAGCTTATTTGGGAGGCTGAGATCTGAGCATCAAGGTTTAGAAGTCAGCACAGACAGTAAAGTCCATGAGACACTTACCTCTCATTAACTAGCACAAAACCAGAAGTGGTGGTGTGGTTCAAGTGGTAGAGCACCAGCTTTAAACAGAAAAGCCAAGGAAGAGCATGAGGCTCTGAGTTCAAGACGTAGTACCAGCACACATACACACACAAAGCACCACATTAAACACAATTGATATATGCAATCTTTTTGCCACTTATACCTCAGTAAACCAAGAAAAATCAAGAGCCAATTTATCTGAGGCTCCAAAGGAGCACAGAGTAGCCACTTGTCTGAACCCAGCAGATATGTCCCAGCTCTAAGATCTCTGAACATCATAGACCTTTAGGCCTTTGACATGCCAGCGACCAAGTAAGTAGCAACCAAAGCCCTCAAATGAAGCCTAGTGGTTCAGTGCTCAGCCTGAAGAAGTGGAACTCAAGAGCCTTCCTGGACAAGAATTCAGAATGTGAAAGGAGGTACTGGAAGATTCCAGCTCTGAGCATGGCCATGCACTCCCTGACAGCAAAGATAGATACCTAGAGGCCACCATGACATGACAGGAACCTCAAAGATTTCAACATGCATGTTAATGATGCTTTAGCTGGTTCCCTGGACTCCTATGATGATTTTATATGTGGCCTCCAGTCAATAATGAAGAGGAGCTCTGCTCCTCTAAGGAGCTGGAAATCCTAGGTGCCCCTATCAACCATGGCTGCTTGCCTGTCTGCTACTTAACACCATCAAGGAGCAGGACTCCTGAAAGTCCCAGAGTGGCAGCTCTCCCAGCTCTTAGAGAACCTGTCTACGTTGGAGAACTGGGTAAGACCTTGAGTGGAGATGAAATGACTTTGACAGGAAGTGGTACTGAAACTTTGTTCTCCTTGTATTTGTTTTCTTCTCTCCCTACCCATGCTCCCTGTATCACTGCATGTGTGTGTGTGGGGGGGGGGGGGGAGAGGAGGAGTAATGGAGACCTTTTCCACCCTAAACCCAGTGTTATATATAACCCTGTATATCCTTCTCTGCTCAGATTGGTTGAGCTCAGGTTCACCATCTGCTTGTGATTGGCTAGTTTGAATAGGGTAAGATATGGAGGTGACTTAGAAATAAGATTAACAGTACGTAAGTAATCTCATAATATACCCACAGCCTCTGCTAGTTCTTGAACGACCTGAGGTGTGTTTTAATTTCATTTTGAAAAGAAACCAGTTTAAGACAAAACCTTACAGTTCAGAGCAAGTCCTCTTTTTCCTTAACAAGAGCCAAGCCACCGGGCCAAAGCAAGAAGAACTAAGCAACATATTTTGATAGAAAAGATGGTTTTTCTTCCAGGAGCCTGGCTGCAGTTGAACCAGGAGAGAATATGTGTGCAGACCTGAGTTGCTATAGCTCTAGGACTTGTGTGAGAAAGAGGCCCTAGACCTGCGGTGGATATAGGTGTAGCATCCTGCATCTCTGCCCTTCCCTCTGCATCCACAGGTGATCACTAATGTCCTCGTCCTTCTCAAGCATATGGTCTGTGGGCCTTTGTGTCTCTTTCTCCTTTGTGAACAGATAGACTATAGCAGCCAGGGACCTTGGGAAAGGCAGCCCCATAGCCTGGCTCTCATAGTCTTTTTTCTTTGATTCTGAATAAGTCTTGCTTGCTTGCTTGTTTTAAACTGACCACTTGGAAGAGATCCTTGGTTATCTATGTTCTCAGGCCCTGTCTCTGCCCCTAGCCTGTTGGAGTAGGACACTTGCTTTCCTGTAGCCCAAAGAGTCTCTGGGTCACTGGCAGACAATGAGAGCTGCCTCCAGCAAGAACAGAGGATCCTTGTGATTGACTAGCTGCAGAGAACAAGTAGTGGTTTAATAGGAAATCTCTAAAAGGAGAAGCAAGCTGCCAAATTAGCATTTCTTGCCCAGCCTTGTTCATATAGAATTTGGGTCTTTCCCTTACTCTTGAACAATAATATTCAGATTAAGTATGGTCATTGTGGTAAGAGATGAGAAAAGAAAATATAGAGACACACAGAAACAGACAAATGCAAATCTATGAATGGCTATATTTGGATGTCATAAGCACAAAATCCATGTCCAAAAAGAGTGAATTTTGTACACGAGAATGCTGAGCGATGAGTATGTTGGATTGTGTGGTATCGATTGTGTGTGAGCCCTGAGTCCAGTTCCTGTGAAGGAACCTTGAATGACAGCCATTCCGCTCAATGTTAGATACATATCTAAAACAGGTATGGTTCTCTCAAGGTAATTCATGCATTGACTGTTCACTGAAAAAAGGTATCACAATATGGTTGGGTGTATTCAGCAACAGGGCAACAACAGCTATCTGTGTTTACCAGAGATGTAGCTTTCTAGGGAGAGGTTTTCCTCTCCTTGTTAGATCTTCCCAGAACAGTCCCTCCCTGCTTCCTCTTGGTGAAAGACAGCAGATAGCCCTATCAGAAATCATCCTCCTGAAACCAGTCATCTCCTGCCTGCCAATCACCTGACTGAGAGACTGCAAAAGACTCCAGTCTCTGAGGTTACTTCCTCATCTGCTGAGATCACTTCCTGAACTGCCCCAGTCACACCTCCTTGGGACAGTGAGAAGGTCCCAATCCCTTCCACATCCTCTATGGTCACACCTCCCCGGCTTTCTCGATATAATCCCTCTCAACCACCCTTCCCTTCCACCCGCTTTTTGTCTTCTCTCTGCACACCTCCAGCTCATGCAGGTTGGCAGTTTGCTCTCCCCACAAAAAACTCTTTTCTGCCTGAACCACGTGTCACGCTCTCTTTGGCAAAGCTTACAGTCCTCATCACAGCAATGTGAACATTGCTCTGTGGACACTCGGCGGCTTGCATTCTCTTCCCTGAAAACAGAAACATGCTCCAAACCTGTCTCCCTCCCCATTCTGCTCCTCATCCTCCAAATCAGCCCCAAGGAGTGTCCACAACCAGCTGAGGAAGAAGTTGAAAGTGAAATTTCAGATAGAAACTTGATTGAACCTTTAGTGAGGAGCCTGAGCTGGTTGTGGCCCAGAGTTTGAATGTGTAGGATTGCCAGGAAGTGTTGGAAGACACCCCAGTACCACTGTAGCCCCATCTTCCTCCAATGAGGTCCAATGGCCTCCCCCAGGCTGGTGTGGGGCCACGGGGACCCAAGGGAAGCAGCCTTCATTTTTCCTAACACTTTCATTAAATCCAAACCAACTCACTGAAGTGGCTCAAAGGGGAACAAGTTTCACTTGTTTAACTAAGCAAACAGATGAGTTCTGACCCTTTTTCAAGTTTCTTTGCCCAGTGAGAGCTAGGCTGGGTAGAGACTCTCATCTCCACCATACATCCTACCCTGAAGACCTAAGAAGATGAAACTGAACAACCAAGCTGTGTAAGATGGTCACATCACAGATTGGTCTCTGCTGCTGAGAGAAAGAGCTGGCAATGGGGAACTGAAGGAAGATTCAAGGGGCCATGTTTGAGTCTTGATCCAGTCAGGTGAATGAGAAGAAAAGGGTTAGTGGAGGGTTTGGTGTTAAGATGAGAAAATTGGCACATGCAGACACGTTCCTACGTGAGACATGTCACCCATTGCCATTTGTCAGGTATTATGAATATGTATATTCATAAGATTCAGCTCATCAGACTTCTATGCAGTCTTGGTGATGAATTTCCTGTGCTATATTTCCTGTGTTCCGAAGACAGATAACACTATGAGAAGCTCAAATAAAAAGAAATTCCATTTGGGCTCTAGTGGCTCAGGCCTGTAATCCTAACTACTCAGGAGGCTCAGATCTGAGGACTGAGGTTCGAAGCCAACCCAGGCAAGAAAGTCTATGAGACTCTTATCTCCAATTAATCACCAAATAATTTTTTAATGGAAGAGGGACTTTGGTTCAAGTGATGAAGTGCTAGCCAAGAGAAAATAAGCTCAGGAACAGCACCCTAGCCCTGGGCTCAAGCCCTGGGACCAGCACCATAAAAGCAATTCCAAACATTAAAAAAAGGAAAAGATAGAGATGTTGCTTAAGCAATATAGTGCCTGCTTAGCAAGCATAAGGCCCTGAGTTCAAACCCCAGGAAGAGGAGGAGGAGGGGGAGGAGGAGGAAGGAAAGAAGGGAGGGAGAAAGGGAGGAAAGAAGGAAGGAAGGAAGGAAGGAAGGAAGGAAGGAAGGAAGGAAAGAAGGAAGGAAGGAAGGAGGGAGGGAGGGAGGGAGGGAGGGAGGGAGGAAAATTATAAGTAGAACTGCCTGAAATTTAAAGTTTCTACAGAATAAAAGAAACAATCTTCAGAAATACGGACATTCCACTAAAGGGGAGAAAAATCTTTACCAGGATTACAGGGATAAGTCATAAGCACTCAGCTTTTGGCTTCTTTTTCATAACCTCATAGCCTTTTTCCACTGAATAATTTCCTCAGTTCCTTCATATCCCTAGGGAATGATCTGATTTTCTTGAGAATATTCCTGTATCAGCTATGTCATGAGACCACCTAAGGGGTCTGCAGTCACAATGATGCTCTCCTAGTGTTTTCTCAGTGCTTTCTATACCTCTGTCTATCTTTTCCTCATACAAACTCTTGAAGCATCTCAAGAAATTCAGCTCTGGCCAAACTGGTATACTATGTTCAGCAAAACAGAAGAATCAGTTCTCCTACCACAGTTTTCTAGGTTTGTTTTCATTAGCAAGTCAGGGCTTAAGCTGGCTATGGAGTTCAAGCCAACACACCTGTATTAATGCCAGGAGGAGAATGAGCAGGAATTCTAGAAATGTCCTTCCAAACTGAGTCAGCTTCCTTCAAGAAGACTGCTCAGAAGAACTACATACTTACATCTCCCTGACTTCAACTCAGTCACAAGGTCACACATTGCTCCAAGAGCGACACAGTAAAAACTGAGGACCTAGTAGAGTAGGTGGGGGTGGGGGGAGGAAGGGATAGTAGGAAAAAACAAAGGAGAGGGTAACACTGTATGACAAAAAATGTACTCATTACCTTACTCATGTAACTATAACCCCCCAATACAGCATCTTTATAAGAAAATATTTTAAAAATCTGAGGACCTATAATTAAAAAGAATTAAAAGGAAAGGCAGACTAAGTATTTGGGGTAGGCAATCAATGGCCTCCACTAAAAACTTAGAATAAAGGACTTCACCCTCATGCTCTGGTGTCCTTTTACCATTTCCCCATTTCTTACCTGCCTGGAGGCTCTTCTACCCTTTTCTACCTAACAAAAAAAGCAGAGTAAGAACACAACACCATGCTACATTGAATGCTAGTCATTTATTTTTCCTATCATTCATCTTTTTTTACTATTTGAATTTGACTTTTTTACTGTTCACTTTCCACGTGTATTCTTCTCCCATTCCTTTGTTGCTTGGGTCTGCCCAGGGCTTTCAAGGCTAGTGGATAGTCTGTAAGAGCCAAGAGGACTCTGATCTTGAATCTATTATAATAAAGCTTCAGCGGGGCACTGGTGGCTCACACCTGTAATCCTACCTACTCAGGAGGCTGAGATCTGAGGATTGCAGTTCAAAGCCAGCCTAGGCAGGAAAGTCTATGAGACTCTTATCTCCAATAAACCACCAGAAAACCAGGAAGTGGTGCTGTGGCTCAAATGGTAGAGCACTTGCCTTGAGCTGAAGTGATGATGGACAATGCTCAGGCCCAGAGTTCAAGCCCCATGGCCAACAAAAAAACAAAGCTCCAAAGCCAGAATGGGTTTAACAAGTCAGTACAGCTCTTAAGTTGTTTTAGCTTACTTTTTGGGAAGAGTTCATACTCTAGGAGAATCTGGTCCAGACTATGCCTTTCAATGTCTTACTTGTAAGAAATGATGGACTTCCTCACAGAATATTTCATGGTAAAGTATGGGGCAAGGCAAAACCCAGTGCATCTTCTGCAAGGTATATGTGGATTTACTACAACTTGTGGGACATCTGGTGTTACACTGAGATAGTTTCCTACCTGGGCCTCCCAGGCTGGAATCCCATCATTAGGACAGATCACCATCAAACCTGGAACTCATCAGCACAGAAAGAGCTGTTGGGATGCAAGTCTCCTTCTCATGAGCCCTTCTGTTCACAAAAGGCCCCTGGTATCTCTGCTTCACATCTTAGATGTGGAAAGAATGAGGGAGTTATGGCAAATGTGTGTGTAAGCTAGATGCCAATATTCCATGAAGAAAGGCCAGAAGGAGGACTGAGGAAATTCCTGAGGAAAGAACCCTAGACTATAGAGGACAAGCCACTTTTTGCAAGGCAATTATCAAATTTCATACAAGTGTCTAGGTTGATCTCCCTTTCATTTTCTTCTTTTGTGTAGTAAAGATATGTTTAAGAGATCTTATCTTTGTGTTCTATACAGTAAAAAGGGAGAGGTCTTGGTCAATACTTAGCATAAGGGTTAAAGAGGAAGTAGTTTTTTTTTCCTTCCCATGCCTCTTGTTAAGGTAACAGCCAAAATTATCATTGCTGAAGAGACAAGAATTGATTTAGCCCAATAAAAGTAATAGTCTATGTACAAAAACAAAGAAGCAAAATTACTTGACAAAGAAGCACGTGGAGTACAGTGGAAAAGAATTAATAGTTTGAGTCAGAAAACCTGGATTTGAATCCCTGTTCTGTCGTAAGTCTGACCCAAAGCCAATTACTTAGTACTCCTTCTCCTCAGAGAGATAACAGAATCCACTTCACAGTAATGTCTGAATGTGATATAAACAGGATGTAAAAGTAGCATGTATTGTTTAAGACTAGATGTGTGTATGAATGCTTTAGGGAACGTGGAAGAGGAAACACCAGAGAAAAGACTCTGAAGTTCCTTCTCTATAGTTAGGTATTTTTCATCTGCTAGAATACCAGCATCCCTTCACTCATCCCACACATGAAACACAAGGACTAGTTACTCCTCGTAAGTATTTCAAGATTCAACAGCCCTACATATAAATTTGAATGGAACACCTAACACTAAAGCACTCTTTCCCAAGCATTAAGAGGAAAAGAATCAGCAGAGATCAACTCTCCTCTGGCAATTAGACTTTATTAGACCACTGGAGATAGTAAGCAAACAGTAATTCTCTTGTTCCAAGAGTTTAGTATGGGGGATCTGCCCAATGCTGAGGGCGTCCATCCCATTATATATTCAAAAACTGGAAGAAAAATTGAAGACAAGATCCATGGAGTCATGAGGCTTCTCTGAGATGGATTCATGCCAAAAGTCACTGATCATTTGACCACCAGAAGTTTCTACTTTGCCTAATGGCAAATCTGAGCTATTTATCTAGTAAATTAGGGTTTCCTTTGCCACCAGGCCCTGTAACTCTAGTAAATGGCCAGAAGCACCTCTGAGCAGACTTGGAGGAATTTGCAGAATCTGGATGAAGTGGTATTGCATATTCTTCCTCAAGGGAGCCATCTCCCCATTCTGAAAAAGAACTGAGCCCAACATACTTTGGGGCTTACACCAGGACACTAGTTCAGAGGCTAGTATGAGCCAGTATCCATGACTCACATCTATAATCTTAGGCACTCATGAGGCTGAGCTCTGAAGATCTTGGTTTCCATCCAGTCCAAGCAGAAAAGGTCCTTGGGAGTCTTTTATTCTATGTGTACTGTCTTGGGACTTGAACTCAGGGACCTACATGCTGTCCTTGAACTTTTTTTAGTTTTTGGTTTTTGCTCAAAGCTAGCACTCTACCACTTGAGCCACAGCTCCACTTCCAGGTTTTGTTTTTGGTTTTTGTAGTTCATTTCTCAGACTTTTCTAGGATTACAGGTATGAGCCACCAGCACTTGGCTTCAGTGAGACTCTTTTTTTTTTTGCCTTTTTTAATATATATTTTTTATTGTAAAGATACTGTACAGAGGGTTACAGTTACATGCGCAAGGTAATGAGTCCATTTCCTATCAACCATTGTTATACCCAGTAACCACCAAAAAGCCAGAAATGGAGCTATGGCCCAAGTGGTGCTATGGCTCAAATAGTAGAGTACTAAACTTGAGCAAAAAAAAAAGAGGAAGAAGAAGAAGAAAAAGCTCAGGGATAGCTCCCTGGCCCTGAGTTCAAGAAGAAAGAGGTGTGGGGAGAGTGAGGGGAAGAGGAAGAGAGGGAGGGAATGAGGGAGCAAGGGAGAGATGGAGGAAGGGAGGGAGGGAGAGAGAAAGAGAAGGAAGGAAAGAAGGAAGGATGTGAGGGAGGGAAAGAAAGGAAGGAAGGGGGTGGGAGGGAAAAGAAAGGGAAGAAGGCAAGGGAAAGAAAAGAGAAAAGAAAGAAAAAAGAGAGAGAAAGAAAGATAGAAAGGAAGAAAGGAAGGAAGAAAGAAAGAGAAAGAAAGTAAGAAAGAGAGAGAGAAAGAAAGAAAGAAAGAAGGGAGGGAGGGAGGGAGGGAACAAACGAGGGAGGGAAGGAAAAAAAAGATTCTCCATTCCATTGTTCCAAGTCAGGTTAAGCTTCTAGAAATGTGCCCTCCAACATTTCTGCTTTATTCAAGATGTAAAATTATAGTAGGATGGCTATCTATCTCTTTCCTACAGACACAGTGATCAATTAGACTCTGCTGAAGATCCCAACAGGTCATCCTGCTTACCTCTATGTCCCTGATGCCCCTTACAGTAATGATCTTGGGTAACTTAGAGCTATTCTTTGGCCTCTACTTCTTCAGAGTCCCTGTGGAAATCAGGAAGTATGTATAGCAGCTACATTCCCATCTCTACAGTTTCACAAAGGAAGTCAGCATAACATTCTCATAGATGCTGCTGCTTTCATCACTAATGAACCCCAGCCTTTCCTTAATAAAAGAACGTCTTCTAGGGCTTCTTGAGGGATGTGATGAAGGTGAGTATGATGATGCACAGTTTGCCTACAATAAATCCATTCTAATATCTGTATCTTGTAAACACTTTTGAATCCATTTTCTATATTATGCCACTACTACACTGAATATGGTCCATTGTGGAATCAAAGTTTCAATCAACCAATCAAGTAAACTAACCTTCAGAGCTACTTACAATGTCAGACCCATAGTCTCTGGACATAGCCAGTTATGCTTGATTCCATTTTATGTTCTGTCCTGCTGTTTTTGTTTTTGTTTTCATATTGTTTGGTTCTGTGCTAGCCCTGAAATTTGAACTCAGAACCTGGGTACTGTTCCCTGGATTTTTTGCTCAAGGCTAGCTCTCCTAGCACTTGAGACACACTTCCACTTCTGGCTTTCTGCTGAGTAATTGGAAATAATGGACTTTTCTGCCTGGGCTGGCTTCAGACTTTGATCCTCAGCTAGATCTCAGCCTCTAGAGTAGTGAGGAGAATTACAGGCATGAGCCACCAGCAACCCATATTATCCTGTTTGTTTTAACCCCCAAAGAAATCATTCCCACACACTATGCTGATGATAACTGGCTGATGATAATTGGTATTTATGTTGGAATATAAGCTTTTTTGTCAGGTCAGATGGTTGCAATAAATAATAAAGAGAATAAAGGCTGGGAAGCCTGAAAACAATAGCAGCCCTTTTCAAGGCACCTTCTCCAGAGAGGTTAGTATCCATTCAACAAAAGAAAAAACTGTTCTCTCTGAAGGTAGCTTAGAGAGACTTGGGAGTTAAGATTCTCAGGTTCAAGCAAATCAAGGTAGAGACTTGGTATGGGCTGTGACTTCAAATTATGTTATAGCTCCACAACCCCCACACAACTAAATTCCAAGTTGACTTTTCCTCAAGACTGGCCCTGTACTTGCAAATCAATTCTTCAGGTAACTCTCTTTTAGAAGCACCCTGATTGTTTGAACATTTGAGCACCAGCTTAAAGACCTGAGCTTGTTGTATCTGTTGTAAATTCTTGGATACAACTGGAAGTAGCCACTGTACATCAGAGTTGTTGAAGTTGTTTCTTATTGACATGTAGATCAACTTGGTCCCTGAGACACTGACTGGTACAGTATTTTACCATAAGCACCCAGAGGTGATGGGTTTTCACTTTCCACTGTATAAATGGAGTCACAGTAACTTGGAGTTTAACATTGATTCAAGGATAGTAAACGAATGGAATGAAACCTAGACTTTTTTTTTTCCTTTTTTCTTGCCAGTTTTTAGGCTTGAACTTTGGTCCTGGGAGCTTTCTCTGAGCTTTTGTGCTCAAGACTACTGCTCTGATACTTGAGCCACAACTCCACTTCCAGTTTTTTATGGTTAATTTAGGAGTCTCATGAATGTTCCTTCCCAAGCTGGTTTCAAACTTCAGATCTCAGCTTGCTAAGTAGGTAGGATTACAGGCATGAACCACTTGGAAAAATCCAGACATTTTTTAGGGTCTTTTTCCTGTGGTACTTCTGTTGCCAAACATTATACCAATATCCTATCAGGAAATCAGACTTTGGTAGGAATATCAACAGAAAACTATAAATATAGGCCAATGGTAACCCAAGTAATAAGCAAAAAGCACTATTACAGCTGAGCCCCAATGAGGTTCAGTTTATCAGAATAAGAAGCTTACAATAGGAATCTCCAAAGTCTGAAGTACCTATCACTGAGGAAGATCAAACTTGGTTGCTAAAGGCTTCTCAGGAGCACATAAAGAGGAACCCCAGAAATCTGGGCTCAGCCTCTGAAGGGCCATAATGAAGCTGGGTCAGGAAACACTGAAAGAAGCTGAAGGGTAGAGCTCATTGCTGCTCCCAAGGTGAGGGACCCTCAGCAAAGCAGAACTTTCTTCCTTTTGACTTTCATGTTTGTCTAGAATCTTCCACCCTAGAAAGCCAGACAACAAAAGAGAACAATTGTTTGTAGAGTCTCAGCATGGGCACCACAGAACAGGAAGCACAGGGTACTTAGAAATAAAAGATGAGAGCCTAAGAACCAGTTCAAACAAACCTTACTAAAACCAACATTAAAAATAGAAAACATAGTATGTTCTGACCATTAAGCAGAAGTCAAAAGTCTTTCTTTAATATAATCACCCCAGATGACTTCCCCCAACACATCCTTCTAATTATTCAATAAAGAACCCATTCCGTTGTGTGAAGTCTTCTCCCTAACTCAGCATGAAGCTAGCATAGCCTTTATATCAAACTAAGCA